GGCTCTCCCAGGTGGCACCTGGACACTGATCTATAACCTGGATATTGAAGAAGCAAGGCTTTTGGCCCATTTCAGGGCAATGTAGGCAGCAGGAGAGGGCACCATTGTGAATAATGTGACCACTACCGTCATATATTCACAAGACAGCAAAAAAAAAAAATTGTGTTTACATAAAAACAAATTTAGACAAAGAATAAGGGATAAGCTTGGAATCTTTCTATAAATTCCCAAAGACCTCATAGTTGGACAACCCCCATGGATAAAGTAAAAGATTCAAGAGAAAATAATGGAAAGTAATCAAATTTCTAATCTTTATATGAAACAACCAGGAGAATACCCTGGGAGGAGTCTAGTCACAGCAACTCAAAATTACCTTCTGCCTAAGACAAGAGGTGGATACTAGGAGTGAATTTTGGTGTTCATGCAGGAGTGTGTGTGTGTGTGTGTGTGTGTGTGTGTGTGTGTGTTGGTGTGTCAGTGTGTGTGTTTATGTGCGAGAGAGAGAGAGAGAGAGAGAGAGAGAGAGAGAGAGAGAGAGTTTAAGAGGGAGGTAGATATAAAGTCTAATTAATCTGTTGGTATTTAGTTCTAAACACTATTCCTCAAAGTTTAACTTTTGTAAAAGGAATATTGGCTTATTTGACAGCCAGAACAATTTGCCCCTCCTGAAAATGTTGCTTAGTAGCCATGAGCCCTGGCATTTCCCAGCTCTCTCTGTAAGATGAATTTAACATCCTTACATTCACAGGAAGGGAAAGTCTACCTTCCTATTGACTGAGAAGGAACTAACTGATCGGGAAAAAGGCATTTGTATTCCATGCCATCCTCGCTGGGGGCACGTGAGTACAGAAAATGGGGAAAATCAATAAGCCAAGAATTGATGAGAAGACTTTGATGCCTACTGATTTCAGAGACATTTTCATGTATTAACATATTGTAAAACAGAAAAGAAAAAAGATCCAGGCAGCTCATTTTCTGGGCCCCTGGCAAGGAGTGTAGTCACCCCTCTTTTGGAGTGTGTGGGGAAAATGCCAGGAATGGAGAGCAGAGCCAACACTGGGTCAGGGTCTTGCTGGTTATGGGCGGTAAAAGGAATCATCAAAGGGACAGGCAAGTCATGTTCACAGGCAACAACTATGTCTGTGGACCCTGATGTAGCACTGTACCGGCTGGGAGGCCAGGGGGACCCTCTTTATGCCTGCAAGTAGCCCTGGAAAGGAGACCTGCTTATTCTGAAATTTTTTTGTAGGGCATTCCATTCTACTCTTCACAGATGACTTTGATGTTGTTACTGTTGTCTTTACAGAGTGAAGTTAGACCTCATCTCCACATCATGGTTTCACAGCATATGCCATTGTGGCCACTTGGATTGGCATCATAGTGCTGGGCCAGGAAGAGTCTGTACCTGTTGTCATTTGAGCCAGGGTCAGTGGGGTCAGACCCAGACCCAGCATGAAGACCAGCAACAGGGGACCCAAGCCCATCATTCTCTACTA